GCGGGCCCGTAAGGCCAGCCACATCTGCTGCTGCGGTCCCAGCTCCGACACCGCTGTCCCTCCCGGGGGTGAGTAGCCCAGCCCGTGGCGTTCTTGAGGGGGTGTTGTTGCCCCCCTGTCCTGCCTATCCTCCGCCTGTACCCATGACGGCGGCCCGTCGCCGTCACACTACCCATTGGAGAAACAAAGGTATTTTTGGTGATATCCTTTATTGAACCAACTATATAGCTGAGAGTAGTGTTACAGAAACTTTATGGCACAGAGTGCCCTTCCCAAGGGCTGTGCCTGAGGAAGGGCAATTTGTGCCCAAAAGCTTGTCTAACATCTCTCCGAACTCTATAGCTGGTTCAGTAAAAAATATCACCAAAAAAACTCTTGCTTCTTTCATTTTCTTGACCGCCATTGCTTACAGCGATACTCCAGTCCTACTAGCCATGTATAAGAAGTAGAATTACCTCAGTTATGCATACAAGACACCCATGTATACCTCAGATAAAACACTTACCAGGTCCACCTCTCAAATCTTTATTCTGGTCCTAAACTTGCTTTGCTAAGCAAGTCAGCAGCTGTTTATACAATAAAGTCTGGGACTGCAATGGATACTTACTAAAAAGAAAATAAAATTCACTTTTATTGAATTTGCATTTAACAGAAATACTTCTAATTTCAAATGTTGTTCCTATTTTTTTTAGCTGTATTCTTTTCATGATCAGAATTTTGCCAGTCTTATTTTTTTTAAATATATGACAAAAAATTTAATAGCCAAATATCTTCTTGGTCATACTAATATACTCCAGATAGGAAAAGTGTAGAACAGGCATCATGTATCAATGGAAAAGTATCATGTTAGCAGCTTCCCAAGAAAGGATTGGGTTTCAGATTTTAATAATTCCTTAATCTGCTTTTACAAAAAACTTTATGTATGAGAAGGGTTGAATATTCTACAGTAATTTTATTGAATGTGTAATTACAAGGCTCTGACTGTTAAGCCTGATGTAGTTATTGGAAAATAAATTCTAAGGGGCCTGGGAACTCTGCTTCAAGGCCTCATCCCAACAAAGCATCGAGCATATGTATAACTGCCCCACTGTGGGACTGATCACCAGGGATCCTGGTTTTCTCTGATTTAAAACAATCCCCAATTTTTGGTTTAAAAACAAGTAACCCCAAATACACATTTTTCTCTGATTTTTAAATGAAACACGACTAATATAAAGATTATATATATACCTCTAATATAAAGATATAGATAGATAGATAGATAGATAGATATAGTGGTATTTCATTTAAATCATGGAAAAATGTGGATTTGGGGTTACTTATTTTAAAATCAAAAGTCCAACCAAAAATTAGGGATTTTTTTAAATCGGAGAAAACCAGGATCCCTGCTGATCTCACACAGTTAAATATGTGCTTAACTGTTTGGCTGGATTAGGGCATAGCTGCTCCGGTTTTAGTACTGCAAATGCCCAGTTTTACTTACAGAACTCCTATTGACTACCTTAGTATTTCTGCATTTGGAGAACTTGTAGGAATGGTACCTGAGTGACTACATATAAGTGGTGGTATATGAGGTGGTAAACAGTCAAGACAAGAGCATAATTTAGAAATCTGTATTTTTGCTTATTGCAGTATTGTCCTATGTTTCTTAATCCTATAAAGTACGACCTAGTTTGGCAGAGACTAAGGCCCCTGACAGACTGTAATTTAAAGGTGTGATGGGATCTGATGTGGGATTCCAACAATTGCATTTCCTGCCATACCACATGTGCATGGCAGGAAGTGCAGTTGTGGGATTCAGCATCGGAGCACACCGCACTATATTGCCAGGAGCCTAATCCCAGGCTCCCCCTGCACCAGTGAATAGCAGGCTTGGCTCCCTAAACTACCCTAGTTGGGAACCCCTATCAGCTCATTGGTGCTCCCAGCTGTGGGAGCGCATGGCATCTTGAAAGGCTCCAGTGTACTTCAGAGGAGTACAGGAGTACTGGCCACATGTTCAATTAAAGGCATAATAGGAACCAGCCACAAAGTTATTACTAGGCATTGTGGTTTACTGTTCACTGCGGTAAAATGCAGCTTCTCATTTGAAGGAGAAAAATGCAGATTTTCTCCTTTAAAGAAGAAAACACAGGAAACAGTGGGTTTCCCTTTGTAGGCTGGCAGAGTTCCAGGAGGGCAGCATGGCCAGGAGCCCCTAGCCTGCAGTGGGCCGCCTGTATTCACCCCTCCCCCATGGACTCCACTCTGTCTGTGCTGCCCATGGGGGAGGGGAAACTGGGCTCCGTGCTCTGCTCTAGCTGCAGCAGCCTCCAGCGCCTACCACAGGTGGCAGCTGGAGCTCAGGTGCTGTTGAAGGGGTGAGGGGGAGGCTGTGGACCCATATCCCTGGCCCTGTAGCCCTGGCAGCTGGGGGCCCCCTCCAGCAGGACTGAAGGGGGGGCTTGTGGGTGAGGAGTGCAGGGCACCAGCAGGGCCAGGGGGGCTGTGGCTTGGGAGTGAGGGGCAATGGCATGGGCAGGGAACCAGCATATCAGGCAGGGGCAGAGAACCAGCATATCAGGGCTGGCAGTGCCGCAAAGCAGTGGAGGGAGAGCCACAGCTGGACCTACATCCTGGTGAGTGAAGGGGGCAGGTGGAGCTCTTATTTTCCATGATAGAAAAACCACCAAATCAAACGTCAAAATGTATAGGTATTTAGAATGTATTTTATTATAGTGATTGAGGCACTGGTAGGCTTCCAAATTGCTTTAAAATTGTAAATATATCAATAAAACATTGTGTTCAACTGATAACTATAGGTATAGTGGTGTTTCATTTTAATTGTGGGAAAATGCAGATTTGGGGGGTTTTAATCAGAGTTTGAAATTGTGTCTGTGTCATCGTGTGTTTTTCCCCCCCCCCCCCCCTTTAAATCAGAAATTTTGCCATTTTTAATTGGAGAAAACCAGGATGCCTGTTTATTACACACATTTTGTGTATTAAATTTGTGGCTTATTCCTTGTTTTATCATACCATTTAATTGAATGAACATGTGGCCAGGTCACTACTTAAGATGTGATTAACCAGTTAATCACATTTTAACAATAACGTCTGTCTGGGGGTTAGATGTCCAAGGTGTGGGGGAGAGGGGGGAGAGAGTCTCCTGATACTTTCTGATGATTAAAGAGCAGTGTTCATGGGGTCAGAGGGATCTGATTGCAGGGAGGAGGAATCTTGAAGGATTTCCTAGGAATCAAAGTTTAATTCACTTATCTTTTCTCCTCTTCTGGTTGGCAGGTTGCAATGCAGAACTTGGAGGATTTGCTGGTCTCTTTGACTTGAAAGCAGCTGGCTATGAAGATCCTATCTTGGTTTCTGGAACTGATGGCGTTGGAACAAAGCTCAAGGTAATTTGAAACCCCTGTGAAGCAAAAAATGTCCATATTGGTGCTGAAGTTATTAATAAAGGAGAGCTTAATGTCCTGGAAGAGGCATGTTAAGATTTAAAAAAAAGAAAGAAAGCAAAAAACAAAAAGAAAGACCCCAGCCTTTTCTGATCTCAGCAAGATCTTTAACTTCATGTCTAGCTCCAGGACCATAAATGTCCTACCGAAGTTAGGTACTACTCAGGCATAAAATCAGGCACATGCT